TTGTATTTCTCCTCGATACGGTCCTCAAATGTATTTTGATTTGAAATTCCACAAAATAAGAACACTCTTAAAGCGAAGTATTCATGAAAGTTCTGGATACAAAGTCGAATTCATGTTTCAAAAACAGTTTTCAGAATTCACAACTTTCTTTAATAGGTCAAGTTGATATTCACAAATTACCGATGAACATATCATTTTGTTTCGAGATGAATATATAAATATATTAACTTCTGGTAGAAGTTCATTATATCTCAAAGTGGAGTGAAGTAGGTTTGCGAAGAATAAACATTTCGAAGTCGTATCCACAATTTAATGTCACCATCAAATGTTAGAGCGGTAAAACCATCAATCAGTTCATGTTTCGAACCTGTATAGGTTCATCATCAGCTGATATTTAAAATTCTACAATAAAAGAAGAACAACGTAACAATAGTTAATGCAATGCAATTAAATCACCTATATGGAGAAAGAAAATGTTTTACTTCATTTTATAACGGAGAAAAGAAAATTGATTCATATTACTAATGACATATTATTGATGAAAAAATATTTTTTATATAGTAGAAAAAAGGAAAAATTTATAACATCATATTTCTCAGTAATTGAACTATGTGCGGTTGAAAGCCTTTATACCTACTCAATAACATCAAAATCATCAACCGGTACATGAAAACGAAATGAATTGAACGAAAAAGGGAAATCAACCGTCAAAATTATATCAAGAAAATCGAGATGACATGGAACAATAACTAGAGATCTACAAACACAGAACACAACAAGCGGAGAAACACCACATACAAATAGACTCGTGTTCTGAGCAAACCATCTATACGTGCCATTTTGTTACAAAAAGAGGGTTTACGGAAGATTAAGGAAGGGGAAATTCAGTTGAAATTAAGAGAATTTAAAAACTTTTAGCAATCAAACTGTACTTGTTCATTAAGAGATGACATTAGGGTTATTAATAGCAGAATTAATTTCAAAAATTTCAAGTAAATTAAGTAAAGTTCCTTTTTGGCAGACGTGTAAAATATCTAAATCGGAATCGATATCAAAACTATGGTTGTAATTAAGAATGTGGTTAGAGAATGAACTTTTAGTGTTATAATCATCTAAGTTTAGGTTTCTGAAATTGTCAATTAATTAAACATGTTCAAGAACTCTTGTTTTGATTTTCCTACCACTTTGTCCGACATACTGAGCAGTACAATTTGGTTGTGAACACGAAATTCTGTAAACGCCTGATTTATGGGAGATTGGTACTTTATCTTTAGTATTGACTAACAATTTGGAAACAGGATTCATAGTATAAAATGAAACATTAATATCATTACAGTAACGTCTGAGAATATTTGAAATATATTAAACTTCATCTAAATAGGGAATAGAGATATAATGATATAATTGACCAGAGGTCAATATGACAGAGTCTTTGATATCTTACGAGACTTCAAACCCCTTGACCACATTCAGTTTCAACAATTTGATTTATGATTGAAAAAATTGCGAACTATTAATGATAAGTGAAACGGGACCTAATACCGATCCTTGGAGTACATTGTGTTTAACCAGTGTAGCATTCAAGAAATGTAATAACACTTTGTTTTACCTGAAAAGGGTCAAGAATCAAATATAATGAAAAAACAATTGGGGGGATGACTAAAACGATAATAACAATAAAGAATTTCTGTAATTATTGCAGACACTATAAAACTTTTGAGTGACACTTAAAATTTATAAATTTGTGAGCTTGAACTAATATTCACAATAAAATTACAACTCTAAATTCGAATACCTTTATAGCAGAGTTTTTATTATTTTCAAAACTCAATTCCTCTGGGTCGATTCAGTTATATCTGGAAACTTGTAACAAAAATATTTTCTATTTCTAGATCCTATTTACACTCATATTTTGCCTGCCTGTTCAAGACAGGTAGTTTAGGTTAGGTAAGGTTAGCCAGGTAAGTAGTATGTTAATCACCACCCTTGGAACCTATTCTGACACATTTCATTAAGAGTTGCCTAGGTCCTGCTGATTTATTAAACCTCAAGAGGTTTCTTGATCCAACAAAATTGACCTTAGTTGCGAAGTTACATTGATGACATATATCAAATTCGAGCGAAAAAATTCAAATTCATGGATTCACAAGAAACGTGAATAATAAAATATTGTATTGATTTAATGCGATAAAAAAATAGTAATGAATGTATTCATCTGCATGATTAAAATCATGAAGACAAACTTTGCAAACAAATGCCCTTGGCAAGTGTTGAACAATTATAATTATTACAGAATTTCTTCATATAAAACAATGCTTGCCCGTAACTTCGTCCCATGAACTACATTATCCACCGCGCAGGACCCATCCCGTGGGGATATCAATATAAAAAGTTGAATTTGTTACTTTTAGATAATGTTGCTTTTCAACTAGTAAAGAATGTGTAAGAAACTAAAGCTTGAGTACGGTTGTTTGCTGACACAGCTACATATTTCTTACTTTTAACAATTTTAAACCTGATGTCATGACGTAACTTCTAACAAAAGGTTCGATTCGAATGATTTGAAGAACAATTGACATGTACGTAATCAATCTTGATTATGAAACTATCAGTTGGATAAGGAATAATATCATTATACGAGTATCATCGTAATTTGAACAACACGTGTTTTTTGGTGGCTAATGAGGATGAGTACTATAAACATACAATATCATCAACTGTTGATACCTCAATTGCAATTTTTCGTATAGATCCATTTTTTTAAAACAAATTACAGCCCATGCTGTTCGCTCATGAGGAGCTTTTTGAGTTCATCCATTACAAACAGAAGTATAAAAAAAAACAAATATTTCCCCCTTTTAAAATTTGTGGAGATTTTGATTGATTCTCTGAGCCCTTGAAAATAATGAAATTTCCATTAACACTCCAAAAACCGCAATTTTCCCGTGACGTGACATAATTTCAAACGGAAACCATACATTCATTCTTAGGATTCGTCTGCATTGAAAAATTTCTTCATTTTCTCGATCCACAGTGTGCTCTTCACCTCTCATATTATACTAGATTGTTTCAAAAGTTTTGTCCGTTCTTATAAGTCTACTCTAAACCGTAATACATCCGTGATAACTTATTTTCGTCGGCATAAAAATTTTGTGCTCGGGATTCGATGAAGCAGACGAAGGCCGTTATCACCTGTTGCTGATTGTCGAAGCATCTGACAGTGAGAAAGTTATCGAAGTGCTTGAAAAGATAGTAGTCGGTTGGCGAGAGGTCTGGGAAGTATGGTGGCTGAGGCAAAACTTTGACGATCAATTCATTTAATTTTCGAACGGTGATTTGTGAAACGTGCGATGATTTAAACAATAATGAATCACTGTACAGCTACTCATGAACAGAGTTTCGCGTATCGCCCTGTATGCACAGTTATTACGAGCGTAAATTAAATAGAAAGCGCCTTCACAAAAGTCGAGTCCGCGTATTATTCAGCGGCAAAGCAACATCGAGCCGTTCACTTCGCAGCACATCTATAACGTGCGTTGCTGCTACGTATGCACAGAGTTTCTCCAATGCTTTTGTATTTTTTTCCAACTATAGCGGTTCAACTCGGAGAAACTGGAGCGAAATCTAAGCTGAAAACATCGTAAAGATACAGTTCAACTATGCGTGGAGGATGCTGCCAACGGGATCTGCGTTTTGGTCTTTCGGTGCGGATGGAATGGTTTTTCTTTATTGTGGCCCCAGAAGCAACGGATCAGGATATTGGAAATATTGTCGGAAGACTCGGAATAGAACTGTACCATCGGATATCTCATAATATACAAACGAGAATTAAACAAAAACATTAGTATTTAGTTGATGATTGTTTTTGGGTCAATTTCATGAAATTCGTCTGGACTTTAATGATTATTCTGTAAATACAATAATTATTTTCTATATTCCATATTCCAACTCCGATACCTGATAATTTGAATATACCAGTGAGCGGAGAGAACAACTCCTAATTTGAGGTTACAATTTCTACGATATAGAACTTACTACGTATGGAATGTAAATACAACTATTTGTGTGTTATAAAAGATTTTAAACCACGAAAACTTTGAAATGGGCAACATTAAACTGTCAAATGATAGATAGTTACACACAAAGTACACTGACGTCTTCGTTTTTCACAGAAGAAAGTATGTGTTTTGACGTGTCAAGTTACGACGCATGTAGGTACAATGGTTCCTCACCACAAGTATAGTAAACAACATATCAACAGTTGCTTAATAACATTACAATTCTCCCGGGTATTCTCGAAATCTGAGTGTCATGAATGACATACCTTGAATATCAATATCTTCAGGCGTCACAATACAATACACAATACAATATTATAAAGCCTGAAGATGCTGTTGTGTAGCGAAACACGTGTCGCGGTTTTGTAAACTATCAAGTGGAAAATAGTCGGAGAATTCAAAAATAAAATACCCCTGGTATTAAAGTCTTGATATGAAAGTCAAATTTGTATTGACATTGCGGACAAATCCATGACATTTGATTGTGTTCTGTGAGATTGTTTCATGTTGAAAACACGGAACTAAAACACTGCGTGTTAGTTCTGTGGTTGAAAATGGGGATAATTGCCTTCTAGATCGAATATAACATTTCATCAGAATGTTTAGAGACTTGAAAATTGTTTGTCTTTCTATTTAAGTGATTTTTTTAGTGTATCCTCTGATGAAATATTCATAGCTTGGTGTGTTGAATAACTTTCACAATTCACTCGACTTTCATGTGTAAAAATGACAACTCTTTGAGTTTGTGCTGTCGATTGTCTCACTCTAGACGTACAGTTTTTATTTATGTTATATTGTTTTTGTTATTTATTTTATATATCAGTTTGGCGATCGAATTTACGAACTATCTTTATAATGATTCATTTTTCAGTAGCAAACTAAAATGTGATAATGAAATTCCAGTTCCATATAGGAAAAGAAAATATGAATCAGATTGCTAGATTGAGGTGGAATCATGAGTAAAGTAGGATGTACTTATTAGTTTGAAAACAAAAAAGTTTTTAGACCTAAATATCGAATAATATTTGAAAGAAATGCCTTTACTTCTTCCAACATTTGGAGTCTGTTTGCTATAGTATTCGTTTGTCCAATAAAATTCTGAGTAAGACTTAATAACAATAGAAGGAAATTATGTCGCTGATTCTAGTAAAAATTCTATCTATCCAGAAGTTTCGGCCTAGAATTCATTTCTGACTGACCTATCGAACTTACGTAGCGACTTAATGCTACGTGCCCCCCACCAACACATGCATGAAACCATCCCACTCGTTTTCAGTCCGAACGGGTTCTTTCCACTCCATGCTTTCACTACTGCTGAGCCCCAATTCAGCGTACAATTCGTTATTGTTTAGAGACTCCAAATCCGTCTGGCTGGTGAGGCTGAGAACAGATCCCCAGTTGATGGGCCTCGTCGTCTCGTCGTCGCCCAGTCCTGAATCCGTATCAGGGGGATTCGAGGGAAAAGGCGTCGCCCTTCCCGAACAGTTCATGTCCCTCAAGCTCTGCTCGTAACTCGCGGGGGTGGTAGTGGTGGCTTCCGGTACCGTAATCGGTGCCAGGGGTGGTAAACTCGGAAAGCATGGTTCCTGAGGTTCGGCCTCCATCTCCCGCTCTAGCCTCCTCAAGGTGTTGCATATCAATACCGATCTGCGCAAAGAAGGGTCCGAACACTGCCTGTACCTCGCCAGCTTGCACATGGAGAGGTTCAGAACCGCCAAACGTCTTTGCCGAAAACAGGGGACATGGCACCACCGCGTCCTTCCGTCGCAACAGCGCGTCCGAACCGGTGGAGAAGCTCCTAGTTCAAGGTAGGACTTTCCGTTTTCTTCGCATCGGATGGTCTGCTGCTGCGCTGGTTGGTAGTACTGCCAATAGTCTGTTTGGGTTTGAAACCTGAAACAAGGGAAAGACGGATTAAAACAAACACAAGAAACCAAGCTGATAAAAAAAATTGGCCGGTGAGCGCTAGTAGCCGACGCTATAAAACAATGAAAAGAAGAAGAAATTGTTGCGTCTATAGTTATCTTTTCAAAAGGAACAAAAAATAATCCATAGATTATTATATTTTCCAATTTTACTCAAAAACTAACTTAAATAGATCTTCAAAACTGTGTGAAATTTTTATTGGATATTAAAACAAAAAACTGTAGATTCCGTACAACTTCTCCCAAGCACCCATGGGTCTATTTCGATAAATAAACAAGTTGGGTCTTTTATGAGGACCGTAGTATACTACTCTCGAAATTGATAGTACATAATCTGAAGGAAACACTAGGTACTCCCACACAACAGAACTGCAACACATTTTTTGATGAGCACCAACCAAGTTGGTGTCATCGGGAGATGAATTATGCTGGTGACCAGTGACACATTATATCTTCAACTGTTAACTGCAAATATCAAGTTACCTATTGTACGGCTGCTGGGTGAACCTAGCTGGTTCAGGCGGCGTTACTCCTGCACACTTCTCCTCGTCCGAAAGCTCGTCTTCGAACTCGTCCTCGTCGAAATCGTCGTCGGTGAGCAGGGTGGCGGCCAGCGAGGGCGTCGGTGCTCGCCAGGCGTCCGCCGTCGCCGGCACCGCTACCGCTTGCAACCTAGCTATGCAGTCGTCGACGGCCTCCCAGCGGCCGTTCTTCGCCGGCGTCGAGGCATCCGTCGGCGCCGTCGCCGACATCTCCAACTTTCTCTTTCCACCCGCTGCTACTCCTGTAGTCGCCTGCAAACCCATCATGGCACAGTTCTGGAACAATAAAGGATTTTATGTTAATTATTTACAGAAAAAATACTAATTACTATTATCACTCGATCGATTATTATTTTTTAATGATATCGTTTGTGGAAGAAAGAATAGTCAAATATTGATAAGAAGGTAATCGAGGCCCAAGACCGATCCTTCGTATTTATTGAATGTCCCTTTGATATACATTTGCTGATGATCTAATTAACAAGTAGGTATGTAAACGGTTTGTTTTACCTAATCCAATATGATAGATTCGCGAAGAATAAAAACTCAAAGTCGTCTCCACAATTTAATGTCACCATCAGATGTTAGAGCGGTAAAACCATCAATCAATACATGTTTCGAAAATATATAGGTTCATCATCAGCTAACATTTAAAATTTTACAATAAAAGAAGAACAACATAACAATAGTTAATACAATGCAGTATGAAATACTTACATGGAGAAGAAAATATTTCATTTTATAATGTAGAGGAAAAATTGTCACATGTTACTAATGAATAAATAGTCACAATGACATGTTAATAATAATGAAAAAATATTTTTTTAAGGTAGTATAAACGGCGGAAGTTTGTCACATCATATCTATGAAAGATTGAACTATGGGAGGCTTGGTGCCTTTATACCCACTCTTCAACATCAAAATCATCAAACGGTATATGAAAACGATTCATAATAAAAAATATCCGAACTGATTTGAATGAGGAGAATCAACTGTCAAAAGTATATGAAAAGATGAAAATCGAGATAACATGGAACAATGACAAGATATTTGCAGACAGAATACAACAGAAGAATGATCACCGCATACATATGGACTCGTGTTCTGAGCAAACGGATCACATACCATCTATGCATGTCATCATGTTACAAGGGTTTACGGGAGATCAAGGCAAGGGAAATTTTGTTAAAATTAAGAGAATTGAAAAACTTTTGGCAATTAAACTGTACTTGTTCATTAAGAGATATAACATTGTGATCATTAATAGCACAGTTCATTTCAAAAATTCCAAGTGAATTGAGTAAAGTGCTTTTTTGACAAACGTGTAAAGTATCTGAATTGGAATCAATATTGAAATTATGGTTGTAATTGAGAATGTGATCAGAGAAGGAACTTTCAGTGTTATAATCACCTAAGTGTAGTCTTCTGAAATTGTCATGTTCAAGAACTCTTGTTTTGATTTTCCTAACACTTTGCCCGACCTACTGAGCGAATCAATTCGGCTGTGAACACTAAATTCTGTAAACGTCTGATCCATGGGAGATTGGTACTGTAGGGTTTTTCCTACAACTACTTTGTTTGGAAACATTTCATTTCTCTATCGATTTTTATTTTGTATTATGAATTTTTGTTACAAAATTAATTTTCATAACTGCATTATCGAACAGTCGTCCAAAATATCCTTCTCCTTGGGTCTATATGTTGATTTTTGATTTTGATTTTTACCTATCATTTTCGTATTTTCTCATCGCATATTATTGAAATGCTCTCTTCTCTCGAAACGAAAGTTTATTGCCAAAAAATTAATAGTTAGAACGGCAGACACCACTTGAGATGTTTCGAGTAGAAACTTATTGTTAACACTTTTATGGATTAAGACAAGTAATTTGGGCCTATGTGGTTGATCCTTTTTGACTATATGTATGACCAAACCACTTGTCAGTAATAATTTTTCGATAGTTACTTCGAACACATGGACACATTTCTTAGCCGTTCTGGGATTTCGGCTGGGAACTGTTTCTTATTCAGAGGTTTCCACCGAGAACTGAACCCGCTCTACAGTCTTCTCGCTGATCGAGAAAAGACTAGCGTTACTTCATCGAGGTTACTCTGTAATTTTCTTTTTCGTGTAACGTTTGTCATTGTTTTTTGTGTTAATGAATTTTAGTGTATACGTCTAAATAATACGTCTAAATAATAATTTATCATTCCCGACATTACTTTATCTTTAGTATTAACTAACAATTTGAAAATAAGATTCATAGTATGAAATGAAACATTAATATAATATCATTATAGTACCGTCTGAGAATATTTGAAATATCTTGTGAAACTCAACCTAAATAGGGAATAGAACAATATTTATTGGAGTTGTTAGTAGATATCAAACTACGATTAAAAAATTTAGTTCTGTTATTGTTATAGATTATGTTAATTAGATAAACAGAGAAACCATTACTATGACCTATTTATCTAATAATAATCGACTCTTTATCGAAATTTTCAGGTGACATCGGAATATTAAATGCTGAAAATGTATGGGAATACGAGTGGCAAGAAGAAAAGGAAATTACTGAATTTGAGTATATTTTCTATAAATCGTAGTTCAACCTCTGCTAACAATTCCAATGAATATTGTTCTATTCCCTACTTACGTAAAGTTTCACAAGATATTTCAAATATTCTCTGACGGTACTGTAATGATTTTAATGTTTCATTTCAAACTATGAATCCTATTTCCAAATTGTCAATACTAAGGATAAACCAATCTCTCATAAATCAGGCGTTCACAGAATTTTGTGTTCACAACCGAATTGTTTCGCTCAGTATGGATAAAGTGGTAGGAAGATTAAAACAAGAGTTCTTGAACATGTTAAA